AAAAATGCGCGTGCTCTTTGTGAGCTCGTTCCCGGCTCATAACCAGCGCGTTCTGCCGTCAAGGGCGATCATTGGTTAAATGTGATCATGTGACTGATGCAAGCCAGATCCTTTTATTTAGCAAAACTGTGATTAATAGTTAAATATTATTGTTGAGGGGCACAGACAGGACTCCGCACGCACACACACATAAAAAAAAAGAATAATAATAATTTTTTTTTAAAAAGTTGCCTCAACAAAAGGGCACTTTGGGCACCCATCAGGAAAGGGGCGGGTGCTCAAGCCATTCTAGCCCCACCCTCTGCACGTGCCTGACCTGGATGACTGAGATCCTTCACAGACATATTGTCTTCAACGTTCCAGCGAAATAGGTTCAAGCTACTAACCTATCAAGTACACTAACGTAGCAGCACAAACTTATAAAGTAACTTCATACTCACCTGGAGGCCAGAGGAGCCAGCTTTCGGCTCGATGGTGAGGCCCAGGGTGACACCTCCGCTAAGGGCTTTCTTCAGGCTCTCTTTCACCTCAGTTAGCTCCAGCTCCAGGTTCACCCGCTCCTCCTCCTTCAGTTTGCACTCTTCTTCCAACTTCTTCAGGCGCTCTGATAGTGAAATATGTGAGCGTTTGCCTAATGTGAGAGAGAGGAGAAATATTACTTTATTAAACTCGTCTTTTAATGACAAGCACGTTTCTATCTCTCTCTCTTACCAGCTGCTGCCTCCACAGCAGCACGAAGGTCTCTCCTCTCCTTCTTCAGCTGGGTCAGGTGGTTTCTGATTTCCTGCTTCTTCTTCATCATCTCTTCCTCCTTTGCTTGCAGTCGCTTGGCATCAGCCTCCACACGGTTCTTCCCATACTTATACTGGTCCCCATCTACACAAGAAAAGTCGGGTTTCAAAAAGTTAGAAGCTAGAGACTGAGGTCATTTGCTAGCAGAGAGAGAGAGAGGGGGGGGGGGGATGAACTGCTTAGAAACCCATTGACATCAGTGCCTTCCGCAGGAATTAATTGCCAGGCCTATGTTTCCGTGAAAAATACACTCATTGTGAATAATTATGAAGAATCAGTCATATAAACCGCTGCTAATAGTTTCAAATTTAGCACTCTTATCTGTGGTACTCTAAACCCAACATGAAACATTTGGTGTTTCCATTCTGACATTTGGAGGAATTGCAAGCTACACTAAGTGGTTACAACCCTCCTCGTTCACACATTAGGCAAAAAATATTTTTCTGAACCACAAGGATTAACTCGACCACATTTCGCTCTCTTCCAATGAGCTAGGGTCTGTTTCTGCTATCGTGCCTCTTACCCTGGAGTTGGCAGGAGGCTCAAGTCTGGCCCACATGCGTCACATGGATTGTCTCGAGGGTAGGATAGCTTTAAAGGCTTTCAGTTATTTACTCCCCTCTACTTAAACCAACTGTAATTTAGATATCCTGCATTTTCCACATTGCTGTGGAACAGAATTTTGCTTGAAAGCAATCAGCGGTGAGAAGCCAGACACACTGTCTGCTATTCCTTACAGAGCAAGATCTGACTGGGAAAGGTGGGTGATATTTCAATTCAAGATGACTTCCTGTTGGTATCTTCAAATCTCAAAACTTACTGGAGTTGTTGCGCCTCAGAGACGCAGTCCCATTTGTGGCAATGACTCCATTCTTCTTTGGCTGGTTCTTTGGCTCTGCCTTCTGTTTTGATGCCACCCCATTGGTTGTTGCTCCCTTCTTTCCCTTTAGCTGAACAAACAGGAAAGACACAATTCAAATGACCCTTCAAATAGATGTTAGCAATGCATATAAGCTATACACATACAAAACTGTACCAACATGCTCTTCCATAAAAACAAAAAACAAAAAACATTTCAAAGAAAAATGTGTCACTGTTGTTTATGCCACAGGTTTTCTACTTGGATTGCACTCAATATCACAAAAGTTACAAACACTTTTATTATTTCATTAATTTTCCTACACTGGACTACTGTAATTCAGTTATCACCTTGTTCCAAAAGTTTCACAAAAAGTCTAAGCTGATCCAGAATAATGCAGCCAAATCACTAACTGGGACTGGAAAGAGAGACTACATTTCTCCCATATTAGCTTCTTTTCATTCCTTCCTTTTAAATTCAGAATTGAATTTAAATCCTTCTCTTGCATTATCAGACATATCTAAACGACTGCACCTTATTATCCTAACAGATCACAGGAGACAGTTTCCTTTTCGGCTTCAGGAGACAGGCATCATCTCTACTTTTGTTGTTTGGTGTTCATAATGACACAGGAAGAAAATCAGCAAACAAACTCCAGTTCAGTTAAATACATAAACATAAGAGATCACTAAGTAAACAAACAGCGAAGGAGAATTAAAAACACTAAAAGTTAAGAGGAGGTTAAAACAAACCCTGAACTGTTAGACAGTTAATATGCAGAAATGCAAAAAGAAACATGAAGGTTATGCAGCAGTGTTAGTCACCTGAGCGGAGTCTTTAGTTTTAGAATCAGCAGAGAGGAACTTAGAGGAGATTTTAGAAACAGGAGTTTTGTAGTGACAAGCAGAAGATGATACAGCAGTAGAAGAAGAAGGCTTGGGAGGACAGCTGGTGACTAGCTTGGGTGAGGGCATGTTCTCATAGAGCTCAGTGTTTTCATAGTGCAATTCCTCTTTCCGCTGGCGCCCCCCTGTGCTGGGAGTGGAGTACTGCATCTCTGGGACCTTGGGTTAGACCAGGTGAGCATGCAATAAGCAGAAGACAGGATTTAAGAATAAGGAGCTGCCATAAAGGGGGGGGGGATAAGGAGAACAGAAAGGAAGAAGATGATAGCAGCATTACTGCAGTATGTGAAATACTTAACAAATTTAGTTTAGCTTCCCAAAATGGAGAGTACTGCTCCACGACTGAAAACATATTTAATGTTTCCTCTTTTTAATTGTTGATGAGCTTTTATCCAAGTCCTATAACGTTAAATCACAGGTTACTCTTTACTCCTTTATTATAGCATCTTTTATGAATAAACAATGTTATATTCTCTGTCTGCTTGTCTTTATTAGTTTTATATCATTATTATCATGCAACAGTGTAATTTTGCTCTTCTTTGGGTGCAGACTGACTCAGCCCTCAGGTTCATATGTAAATCTGTCAGGAGGTCAATGAGTGCAGAAGGTAAAAGCTGTGGTATGCAAGGGGCCCGAGCACCATTATTGCAAATAGCAAAGTACATACCGTTACTTTAACTGGTCTAATTTGATTTTAGGAAAGAAAAAGATTTATATCATGCAGGCTCACTGGAACTTCTGAAAGTGTCATAACAAAAATGACACATTTTCCAATAATATGTTAATGATATGCAAAAAATGAAAAGCAAAGAAAGAATCAGCCAAGAGTTTGTAAGCAAACTAGAGGGTGTTGAAGTGAATTATCTCACACTTTTTCATTGCAGTACATATGCAACATCAGTAAGCAGTTGTGTCCTTACCATTCCATTTATGGGCACATCATCATAGTGTAGTGCCATACCAGTGGGGCAGGCATAGCCACTGACTGGGTTGTCCAGATATGGGTTAGGAGACACGGCACGCTTACTGGTGAAACTAAACATAAAACATCACGATTGAGGCTTAAAAATACAGTGCCCTTCATATATCTTCATTACCTGGGATTTTTGTATCTCTTAGTCTACAAAATAGTTAAAAATGGATCATTAACAGTTGTAACGATCGTATAAAAACAGGAAAATGGAAAATAGCCAGACATACTACGTTTCAACATATAAGTCATTGTGAGCTAATGAAATAAGAAATAAAACACATTAAGCACTAATTCTTTAAGAATTCTTCCAGGTATTAACCAGAGAGAAAAAGATTCATGTGAAATGATGTGGATGCATCTCTCACCAGAAGGACTGTTTGGCAAGCTGGATGACGTTAGCAGTGGTCTCAACATCAATGTAGTCATAGTGCAAGGTGGCTGGGTCTGTGGTAGATCCAGTCTCAGCTAGCAAAACCCCCAACCAGCGACCCATCTCCTCAGAGGAGGAGGCCTGAAGGCAAAAGTCAGAGTTACAGAATATGCAATCCCGCCAGTGTCTGTGAAGAGTTAAATGTTAAAAAAGAGAGAAGGTTTATGATTTAGTGAAGGAGGACAGTAGAAACAGGGTGAGATGGAGGCAAATGATCCCCCAAAAAGATACAAGAAGAGGATCCTTATAAACTTTAAATTCCTTATTATTATTATTATCTGTTTAAATGAAGATAATAATAATTGGATTGTTTAAGGATAGCGTGCAGACTATGTGAGGAAATAGAATCAAGACAAACTGGATGGCAATTGGAGGAAGTTTGTGAAGACCAACAACATTAAACACAAAAATCACTGTGGGTGGAGGAGATATTGAGCACTCGAGAGGAAGATAAAAAAATAAGGAGCAATCTTTTCTTGCATCAGCCTAAGTGTGATTTAGTGGTGTTTGAGGCATTTCTAATTCCCTCAACAAAGTTTTTTTTCTATGAAAATCTCTCAAGTACGTAATCAAACTCACCTCCAGTACGGCCACTTCTTGGCTGTTACGAAGGAGGCGGAAGGCAAAGGGGTGTTTGTGATCGAGGCCGGGGCTGACCTCACAGCCTCGGAGGGGCAGTGAAGCTATGTGGCTTTTCAGGTCATCCCGGTCCTTGTGAAGGAGCAGCTGGTTGTCCTTGAGGCGGCACCAGCGCTCCCTCCAGCGGTTATTAGAGAGAACATTCAGGTAGCCTGTCAGAGCAAACACAGTCAGGAGGATACCATCTGAAAGAAGCCGTTACAGTGGCAATATTTTTTCAGGCCTGTCTAGTTGGGAGACATTTTAGTCGTACCTATTTGAGCCTAAATGAAGGAAATAATAAGACATAAAAGGCATTTCTATTTGTTTGTCCATCACTGGTCCTCATTGCACACAATGGGGTGCACTTCTAAATGAATTTTTTAAAGAAACTTTTAGAATCTTTATGTTTTATAATACGTCTGAAAGCATAAGGAAATCAAAGCAACCTGTCTGAACTGTTTACTTTCAGGACCCTAACATAGCAATCTTAAGAAAAAACTTCCTAGAAGTGAGTCGCACCACTCAGCAGCCATTCTGAAACGCCTCTGGCATTACTTTGAAACATTTTCTTAATTAACCAAAATTCCAAAGATTCATTGGGACATAAATGCATTTATAGACCGGTCAATCAATCAAGATCCATATAAAAGCCATACTTCTACCATGTCAGGATATTTGCGTCTCTCTCTCTTACCACATGTAGGTACGTCTTCTTCAGCTGATGATGTCTGTTCATCCGTGGAGGGCTTCTTCTTTCCAAGTCCAATGATCTTAGTGATTTTCTTACTTGCTCCCTTCCCCACAGTGCCAGTCTTCTGCTCAGACTTTGTATTTTTCTTTCCTTTTCCTGAGAGAACATTTTGAAATTAATTCCTTTTTTACACTGAAGAGTAAATTAGTAAAAAGAACTCTAACAATCCTTGCTGAAGGCAATCTATGATCTTGATCTCAGCACAGGAAAATACCAAGAGAGATGTTGATTCAGTTATGTTTGGATGCTTTTGTAATAATGTAAAAAAGAAGAGAAACCTTAGATTCTACTATAAACAACGCCGAGTTCCGAACGGGTTTAATCAGACCCTTGTGTTCAGAAAAGCAATGTTGGAGAATTAAACTCATTTCAAAATCCCAACATTCCCTCTGGTCTGAGTGTTCTGATTTGAGCTGCCCTAGTTTCTATTCAAATAGCAAAAGAGAGTTGAATGACTGTGCACATTCTGCTGGAAAGAGGGCTAACAGTGAAAAAAAAAAAGGTCATGAGAGGCTATGTCTGAGTCGCTCTGTCTGTGTAAGGAAAATAGCTTCTGCTTAACTCTCTTGCTTTGCTGATACTCTGATCTGTGATGTATCTGAATGAATGTAAAAGAAAGTGAGAAAATATAAGAAAGACAAAAGAAAGATGTGTATTTTAATGTGTTTGTATCTCTACACTAGAAAGGAAAAAAAAAGCTTGACTTTTAACCTCTCTGTACTGTCAGACATCGAGGCAAAACAGACAGTGGAGAACAAGCGGGGGAGGGAAATATAAAGCATTCCCCTTCACTTATGTCATAGCCAACGTCTGGACTGACTCTAAACACACATGTGAGATCTGTATAATCACTGAGGCTAGTTTGCACTTGCACTTGCACACACACACACACACACACACATTAATACTTAACAGGAATCAGCACCTGGCTGCTGAAAACAGTGAATAGCAGTCCAAACTGATATGATATAATGACAGCAACTCCCTGTGTTAACTTCCTCTTTGCAGTCAAAAATTCCTGATTTGGCATTTTTCCCACATTGCATTTTCCTTGCCATGACAATTACCATGGCAACTGTCTTAATTAAACAGTAAGCTGTCTGCAGTCAATTTAAGATGCAGGGTCTTTCTTGCAATAACAAAAGAATACAAAGACACAATGCAGGGCTGAGGTGGAGCGTAGACACACAGTTGTAAAAGTAATTTAAAAAAAAACTCTGATCAGGCTAATTTAATTCCAGTAAATCAGCTTTTTTTGTTACCAGCCATGGAAAGAATGTGGCTGATTAAGATTATGAGAGTTCTTGGACTGAATAAGAGAAGGAGCAAAGGATGAGAACTACTAACTATTTTTTTGGCAATTATTACAGTTGATAATGTTGCTGTGACGATACTGCATGATTAATATATGTGAATTCTGCCCCAATCAGTCAGAGAAAAACCACATCCAAAACTTCCTGAAGACTTTAAACATGGTTTGCAATAAATTTTGGTGTGACAGAAGTCACATTAATAGTCGCCAATGTTCCCTCTAAGCTGCGCACGTGCGCAATTGCGCACTGCAGGCACGGTTTCTGCGCACAAAAAAAAAATCTAACCTGAATTGAAAATAAAACTTTAACAATTCTGTTTTGCAGTGTTAGTCAGTAAGTGACTGGCTGCTCCCGTATGGGATTAGAACGATGCCACCTTATCCCATAGTCCAGCCAATAATGCGATTCACATTTGTATACGCAGCCAATCAACGTGGTTGACAGGCTATGACAGCGTCCTTATGTGCCGACACTGGCGTTTTAACTAGCAAAGCGGCTGATGTGGAGTGAAGCCACGTTAATGACAACGTGTACAACCATTGGAGATGTGAGCAGGACAGACGGAACAATTGACGGAAAAAGTGTGGACTTTATACCAGTTTTTAAATTGTGTTGATAGGCCACGTAAAACCAGAGTTATGATAAAAATATGCAATGTTTGGTTTCCTTCCTGAATACTGTCATTGTTTATATTTACTGCGGGAAGAAACGGTAAAAACGGCGTTTTATAAGGAAAAAGGCTCGAAAGCGCTCTCTGTATGTGAGCAAAAACAAACCCCCACCCCCCTCTTTCTTTCCTATTCGTCCAAAAAAGTACCATGTCGACCAATCAAAAAAATGGTATGGCAACGTGGCAACTAGTTAGAAACGGGGGGAAATTTTAGGAGTGACGGTGTTCCAGATCTACTGGCGTTTAGATCAACTGGCGTTGGTTGAACAGATGTGTGGCAGTCTTGCGTTTCAGGAGCTCCTACCGACAAACCAGCAAAAAAACGCCAAATGTGTCATCTGTGACACTTGTGAGGTT